TACGTATTTGTCATTGAAATCGGTGGCTTTACTGTTACACCTTTGAACATTGGAAACTTGTCTCACTAATTTGCGCCACCCGGTTTCGAATCAACTTCGTGAGGCATAATTAAGGTATTGCAGAAAGCCTCCCCTATCAGTCCCAATTCACCTTAAACGAACTATAAACACTAGTTTCTTTTCGCCAATTACTTTTGGCTTCGAAGCAAACTTATGCCGAAAATATTGGAAGGATCTGTTATTGTTGAGAATTTCATTTTGTCGGAAAGTTACTGATGAAGTAATTCGTAGACCAAACTCACCTAGAGATGAAGATTGCTCCCCTTAGTTCTGCAGTGGGAGTCATTCGTTGTCTTCTGGAAAGGCCGATCTCAGAATTGTTGTATTTGGCAACCAGGTTATCCCACTATAATCTATGAAACCCAGTTATCCTTCGTAGCCGTGTAAAGAGTTGATGTCTTTATTCCATCAAAATGCTTGTTTTTATCGAGGTCTACCACTTTTGATCGAACGCCTGCCCTCGACAAATGCTTTCCTTTTGCGTTGAATTTCGCTCCTCCTTAGGGAATCGCTCTGAGTCCCTCTTTTGTCGACTCCCAAATGAGTAGAGTGATCAATTTGCTGGAAAACCAAAAGTTGTATGAGTTGACCGTGACTTGTCTTATTTTTAACAGCACGCTTGGCGAGGTGACATTAGACATATGCATGTGTGGCTAAGGGCCTGATCCAGGATTCGAATCCCACCCGGGCTGTTGAAGGGTCAAGGAGGTGAAGTCATAACTGCAGTCCAGACTGTGATCAAAAAGCCCACTTGAGAAGGCCTCATGGAAAAGTGAATTTCATTACAAAATCAAATCTTTACTTATCCTTCGTCATGGAAATGTGAATTGCCGCTCGCGAAAGTGGTACACTCCGAATAGAATGGTTTTTCAGCCAAAGGTAGAAGGGAGAAAAATGGTCTTTGGCATAGTATTGTGACTTTACATTTACAAGGAAAAGGTGGCTTAAAGAAATGTGTGAAATGGTATCACCAGAAGCTGAAGAAAGATTGCCGTAAGGTAAATATTATTGTATTATGCGAATAAGTCCTCAGCTCACAATACTACGACACCGATGAACCTGCACTAAGTTTGCGTTTGTATCGTCATTACAGACATCGTCAGAGCGAAAAAGTATACTCTACGAAATAGAGCAAAAGTATGCTAAACCAAGAGCAACCATAGTCACTTTCTGTACACCCAAACTTTGGGCCCTTTCGAGACATCCCAAAATGTGGTTGGATAATTCAAACTTACTCTGCCTGCTTGCAGATGAGTAAAGTTAATTCATGAACCGGAAGTGGATCTACTGGCAACTGCTTCCTTACATAAATTGATAAAATAGTGTATAACTCGTGTTTATGTATGTGCTATTGTCTATTGTGTACATGTAATATACATGTCATGACTAGACTCGAGGCCTCTTTCTCCCGCTCACTGGCTCTTACTTCTCTCCCTTGTTCTCCCTCTCCTTAAGCCCATCCAACGACTAGAAGTAGTCCCTATTGTGGACGTTGACTGTTTTATGAATTGTGTCTACCCTATTTTGTTTAAGGTGATGAAGGACTGGCAATTGAATTTTGCCTCAATGATAAGAGTGGAGCTGATGTTTTCCATTAAATTTCACACAGCCTTGCTTCCCCGAAAGGTGTTCTGCCCCAGGCCTACTAAGACTGGGGTTTCAACCTTGCCCAAGTCTTATCAATACCCCCAGTGGGACTCGAACAATGACAAGGCAGCGTGTTGTCCCGATACGTCAACTACTACTCCACATTGTCACAAGTGCCCTTGGGCCACTTTGATTTGGAGTACTCGTAACCCGCCAAATGTACTCTTTGGGAGCAGTCTGCAAGCTGCGATTTTGGAGCCATAGACCTTTACAAGCGGTTTTGTGTTCGCATTAG